TACTAAAATACCCGTTCCTTACAAACAAAGACCCATTCATTAGAAAATAAAAGCCTTGATTGAGACACGTGTTGAGACACACCGTTTGCATTACTGTATATTTTGGATAATATTACAGATAATTTAATCTAATATTTGTATTACAAAGACTATACATCTATATATTCTTCTAACAAGTAATTAGTATTATATTATTGGTTGCGATAAATATTTTCAGTAAAACAAAACTCTTGTTTTTTTGTCGCAAGAATTGTGAGACTTTAGCCATAAATTGGGTCAAAAATATTTGTTGACAAATAAAAACTAAATAAATACTCGTTTGACTATCGATTGTATGAGAAATTTCTCTAAACACATATCTCAACAGTTTTTTGGCTATTTTTCATAAATAAGAGTTCAATAAATCCGAGATATCGTTACAGAAGAAGCAAAAAATCAAATTTCATAAATTTCTTATCACTGTTTGTGTCACTAATTTATATATATTTTATAACTTATGTGTTTGTCATTGAAGTATTGATGTATAGCATAATGATTACTGATTATGTGCTCACTGTATGACAACTATTATCGCGTAACAAAAAATATACTGTATTTTTGACAACAAAACAATTTTAATCTAAGAACACATCTTCTTATGATTTCCTCATTAAAGTCTATAACGAGATAAAAATGTAACGCATTTTTGAACACTAAATACAATAATCTTATGCCAGTATATCTAGTATGGGATCAACAAATACTGGCCATAAGTGTTGATCTTATAGACGACTGACTCTATGGAAGTTTACATTAAATTGCATTAAATTTAGTAAATAAAGTAAATTTACAATTTTGGCAAATTTGTCAAAGTTTTGAAATCATGTTTAATATACACGTGAGATATTGTATGGAAGTTGTATTGTATTCATGTCTCTCTCAATACTCGTGTACTTTTCCCGTATGAGAAGTGAATGTAATATTGAAATAAAATTTGCAAAAATATAATATTAATGAAATACGAATAAAACACTCATTAAAAGTGGAAATTCGATATAAAATTTCGCAATTCATACACGAATTGAAAAGAAATATGTATTTCTCAAAGTTTCCTCCAATAAAATTTTTTAATAGTCACACAATTTGTATGAGAAAATGAATTATGAAAAACAACTTTAAAAACAGAAAGAAAGAAAATTGTTTTGCATAAATGGTGTTATTGGCTGAAAAATAGCCCTCATATCTAATTGTGAGTTTAGATGCACTCTTAAAATATGTCCCTTTTTCTCAAACATAAAATAACTATCGGTTCAGTGAATGGCTGTCTTTGTTTAGGTCAGAAAAATATGATTAATTAACTGATTATTTGTGAAATGTTTGCTTAAAATGCTATTTAATTATATAAGTGTTGAAATGTTATGAACTGAACAGTGATTAAGAAAAAATTGTTTTCGCGACCAAAGATTTATATACAAAATATACTGAACAGTGTATTGAAACCCAAAACCAAAGTTCACAAACATGTGACCAAAATATCTGCCACTATTTTATCACACAAATCATGTAATGAAGTAATGCGAGACATTTCTGCCTCTCATTATGTTATATAAACAAATTGTTTTTACATTTACTGTAGTTTAATATAAAAGTAATTTTGTACCAAAGCTTACATATCATTGAAACAAAATCTATTATTTTTCCATATTATTTGCAATAATTGCTATTAATTATTACATTTAACCAATTGTTTGCCATATTTTTCAAATTAACATGATCATAATCAAATAAACATGATCAAATAAAAACATAATTATTAATTCTTGTAAATCTGTATTAAATTCTCAAACTTTGAGACTCAAAGTGACCTTTTATTAATTGTAAATTAAAGTATGATCATTAAAATTACTGATGGGCCATTAGTAATGGCAATATTAATAATATACATTACACATTAACAAATAGTGTCTATGATTTCGCAACATATTTCTGAAAAGTTGTGAAATATTATTGATCATTGTATGAATATATAAGGTCTGAATATATTTATGTAAATATATAAATGTCAACGAATTCAGCAAAGAATTGCATCAAAATTTATATGAAATATTGATAAGAATTTGAGATTAGATATAATTAAGTTCTCATTCATAAAAATAAAGATCTTTTTACTAAGAGATCAATATTTGTACAATTGTTTTGTTCAAAGAATATTCCGTGAATTCAAATATAATATTCTTATTGTGAATGCACTGAAAGTACATTTTTAGACATATTGTAAATAAGATAATTAAGTAAATGTATGGACAGAATAATAGCATAATTAATAGATCACTTACTTTTCAAATAGTTTTTTATTATTATTGAAGGGTAAATGTTGTTGAAACCAATTCTGGTTAACGTATTGATTGTTTTCAGGTATACAACCATTCATTACAATGTTATCCATTACTGACAACTATTTCGGACTCTTTATGTTTATTTGTTACAAAGTGTCGATGAATTGAGACTCAATTGGCGTACCGTTTAATTCAATCAATTTATTAATTTTGGTGTTTATTAAACAGATTTTGATTTCTGAATGCGAGAGAGCGCTGAAAAAACAAGACACCAGTCGTTAGAGTCGTTCACTAGTTATTGAAATCTATATTTATATTTGATTTTTTAATAATTACAAAACGATTAATAATTTCGATAACAAATAATCAGCGATATATTTTTAAAAAATCGTTTTTAGCATACATTCAGTCGGTGTATATATACAGCATCTAAAGTGTATATATATATTCTGGACGTGTATTAACGATGTACTAGTGTTTTGGCACACATTCAACACTTGTATCACTTGTACGGTATGTGTGTTGAGTGTGAGTGAGAGAGTTGTTTGGTATGGTTTAGTATGTATGCGATGGCAAGTGTGTGCTGTTCACCACTGATCTCTCGGTGTCTCTCTATAGCTCTCTCGAAACGATTTTATACCTCAATATTGTTTGTTGTCTGGCATTGAAAAATCCAAATACTTGTTGCCTAATGTCGTAACCAATGCTAGTCTAATGGGTTGCGCAACACATCCAAAGCGTCTGAACGCGTGTCGCACACAGAATATCATCAAAATGTTATACAATATTGCATACAATCTTTTTTTCCACTACCAATTCACTCACTTGTCAGTCGCTTATTCTCTCAAACAACTACATGTAAAACACATATCAACTAAAATATATACACAATTTCTCGTTCAGACAATACCAATAAAGATGTATATATTTTTCTAGAATACAGTATATGTTTACCATTGAGTGATGATATGTAAGCGCATGTCATTCCCATCTAAAAGACATACAAATCGAGAGAATGAGAGACAACTGAATGTGAGAATAGATTTCAAACTCTGGATTCAATTCCGGTTAGAATCGGATTTGAAACTGAAATTTAAATAATAAAGTTGTTTATCATAAACAGTCGTACAGTGTTTCCAATGGTGTTATTCTTTTAGGCAATTAATCGGAAATCTCAGCGAACTTTGAAACCATAGGAATAGGAAGAAACTGATTAACCTTTTGAGCAAAAATCGGGGCTATATTTGCAAAACGGATTGCAAAACCATATAAACCGATAAATATAGAGACGATTGCAAACAATACAAACTAATCTCTTCCACTGATTTTAGGGTCTATTCTCTCACGATTTGTGACTTATCTCTGCTATAAATGTTATAAATGAAGTGAAATCTGCTTTTCAAAAACCCTTCAATTGACCTTTTCTATTAGGGGTTACTTTATTTGGTATTTACGGTACAAATCCCACTCATTAATTGTCGCAAACACTTTTTGTTGCAATTTTCCTTCAATTAGAAATTTCATTAATTTTTTAAAACAATTAATATAAAAAATTGGCTTAAAAATAGGTATAAATTGTCACAGAGTTATAAATATATGTAAATTAAACCGATATAATTGATTGCAAAACCCGTTTTATCCGCTGATATCCCAAAAATAGCTATAAATATTTGGACGGAATTTGTTCCGAATATTTATGTAAATTTGAATAAATTAATTGCATTTATAAAACATTTTTGCCATTCGAGTGACTGACAGGTCTTTTGATAAATTTGTCGCAAAAACAAAGTTATTCAGTATTGGAGTAAAAAGCAAATAAAACCCCTTTTGTGTTTCTCTCACTAATCATGTATTAAATAACGTAAATATATATAATAAAAGGTTTGATATTTAATAAATGAAAGCTGTTTTCATAACAACTTTTCAGACAATTTCGAGACGGTATATGAAAAACAAAACAATTTATCACACATTCAGTTATAGAGGGAGAAACGCAATGGCTTTCACGTGTGGACTAAATGATACATTAAATCGATTAATAGCCAAAACATGTTTTTCAAGTCTTATATTTTTCTTGTTTTTTATTATACACTTTATTTGCATTGAAATTTCATTTTTTGGATTTAATATTCAATTTATAGGTATTTTTGTCGGATTATAACATTTGTCTCATTTTTCAAATATACAGAACAGTAGAAAAAATTGATATCTAAACCACAGATCATTTCGTTGGATATAATGTTTGCTTTTCGGCCGACAATTGGGAGAATTTTACAGATTTACAAATATTTGGGGCGAAAATGAGTTAAAAATTATTAACAAAAATAATATGAGATATAGAAGTAGTGACCGGACTATAAGTTTTAGTTCTGATATTAACAACAAATTAATAGTAATTATGTTTCATATGAGCAACAAATCAGACAATAAAAAATAAAATGTGAGGAAAAGTTACAGTAATTTCAATAAGTTATGAAAAACAGAGTTATTTGGAAATCAATATAAATAAATAAAAAATAAGTTTTAGAAAATTAATGATAAAACAATTTGTGAATTGAATTGCACTCAATAGGTATACAATCGATACAAAAAACAATCAAATTAATAACTTTTAAATAATAAACATAACAATTGAGTCAATAAAATTAGCTCACAATTTGTATATAAGTTATCAATAATATCGATCACATTTAAATATATAAAAACGAGTTCGTTTATAGTTTGTATTGTCATTGTATTCCTCAATATTAATAATAAATTGTAAAAACCAATTATAATTAATATATAATATTAAAGATAATTTGTTTTGTTGCCTAATATACTGTATAATAACTGGTATAATGATGTGAGCGGACAGTCGACGAAAGCGAGTATATGTTGTAGTGATTCAGACTGTGCTCTGTTTCATGAACGACACTAGACTTATATTATGGTGACTTCTGGAGAGCGAACCGCTCTTTGAATTGTTAGCCACGTCTTTGTCATACGATTCGCACAATTGATTCATTATCTGATACGACGGCAATCGACTCAACGTATAGTAGTTTGGCTTCGGTTTACTGTTGTTTGCATTACCTGTGGATTACAAGTGAATAAAATACAAAAAAATACAATTAAACACTGCAAACGACACACAAGAATTGACCATTCATTGCAACGCTTTCTTTACAATTAATAGATATTCAAACAATACTCACAAAAAGCTCTGGTATTTTTGGGATTTCAATTAATTGTTTTATAAATTTATGTTATTATTATTGAAAGGGATGTGAAGAGACATTACTTCGATATACTGGAAGAGAATTGAGAGAACAGAAAGAGGTCGGAAGAGACCGTTTTAGGGATCAGATGTTTACCATTAGATTCAAAGTGCAATTCACCACTCAATACAAACACTAACATAGATTAATGTGCGACAAAACACAACACCGAAACCATTACCAAAACAAATTAACAAAAACCATTATGTGATATGCAAACCAAAAAATGTCATACAAGTTATGCAAACAATTAATCGCAAGCAATGAATATAGAGATCATTTCCAATAACAGAGAAAATAATAGAAACCCAAATAAAAAGAGACAAAACGATAAATTGAAAAATTTAATCAAATATTTGAATAGAAAAACAATTCGTATAAAACAAGAGCTAAAAACTAATAAATTAGAAAAACTTAGAAAAAAACTATAAGAAATGAGTGAATAATAATAAGTTAATTGTTGTCATTAAGATCCGTACCATAGTGTGAATGCTGTTGATTAGGATTGCGGGGCAAAGAGTTGTAGTTGCCGTTGGCATTGGGCCCGGCGGCGGCCGCAGCGCTGTTGGCTGTAGTGGCGGCCACATTGGGGTTCGATGTCACCTGTTTCTGGAGCTGCGATTGTTGGTGAGTGTGCTGCTGTTGGCCCACCATTTTGTTGGGATGAAGCACTCGCTGCTGTTGTTGTAGCGGCTGTTGTGGATACGGTGCCGGCTGTTGGTGCTGGTGTTGGTTGTGATACAACTGCTGCTGATATAAGTACTGATCTGCTATTGACTTTGAGCCCAGCGAACCGGTAGGCGTTGTTTTGGACTGAGGGCTCATTTGAGCGCTTTGAGAGGAACTCAGGTCCGCACGACTGGGTCGGGGCTGAGATGCCTGCTGTCGACTGAGATCACGGGCCCGTTGGGCCGCTAAGTATTGTTCATCACTAATAGGACTGCGAATATCAATTAGACTGAAATACAAATTATATAACGTTTAGAATATATAGAATGACATATTATGTGTTGATAGACACAAACCTCGGAGTACTTGGTCCGCAGAGTACAACACAACAGTTCCTATAAACTGATCCCTTGGAAAACGGGTTCTTCACTGAGTGGTTGCGTTTGGAGGAAAATGAGCCCTTAATGTCTTCATTGGTGGTCTGATTGGAAGTGGTTAAGTACGTGTGAAAGCCGGCCAAACCAAGTATCGACCAAACGCTAAAAAAGCATATAATGCCGACCACTATACTCGCCGGACTATCCTTCACCGCGTCTAACAGTGATCTTCCCTTCGATACTATTCAACAAAAAACACAGCAATTAATAACACGATAAGTGAAACACAAACACAACTTTTCGTACATAATATGAGATGAGTTATAATACAGGCGAATACAAAGACGCACAGAAGGGCTAATGACATAATAAACATATAAAAATAGCGATAATTTCTTTTGCCGACACAATTGCCAACCCATGGGCAGTGATGGTCAAACTTCTCTGTATATCATAGAAATCAATGTTAATATACAATGCAATGAATGGTTGAACAGTAATGACATACCGACGCAATTGTCACAAAGGCTGCAATGGGAGGCTCGCGGAGGTCTAAATATTTTACATGTAAAACAATACTTCAGTTTAATGGTCTGGCCATTGATGACAATCTCTTTGGTTCGCGGCGGAGGTCTATATGTGGGAGAGTTTGAGCCGTTGGGCACTTCTGTTCATCAAATACGACAAAATCATTATAACGCTAATTAAATGCAATATTTGTGACCAATAATTACCGATTTGCCGCTCAGTATCTGCCGCCTCGTCGGGTGTGGCTCGTGGCAAAATGCCCGGATCCGTGAAACTGGTCCGCAATAGTGTGCACAACACGAATATGAAGAGAAGTGCGGCCACAGCCGGAATCGCCGGACTTATTTCAGTGGCTAAAAATGGACAACTGATGGACACAACAAGCGGTCTATTAGTGATCAATGAATGACTGAATTGAGTGTTAAAGACATACTCGAAGACGAAGAAGAGCGCACACGTGGCGATGATTAGAGTGATGGTGAAGTAGAAGACGGAGATCTGTTTGGCCATAATTATGCGTCCGTCACAGTAGAAGCGATTACGTCCGGGAAAGATGTCGTACTTCTTCTTATGGTATTTGTTCTTCATCTTCGGTTTGCCGTACGCGGAGGTCTAAATATTTTACATGTAAAACAATACTTCAGTTTAATGGTCTGGCCATTGATGACAATCTCTTTGGTTCGCGGCGGAGGTCTATATGTGGGAGAGTTTGAGCCGTTGGGCACTTCTGCTCATCAAAGACGACAAAATCATTATAACGCTAATTAAATACACTATTTGTGACCAATAATTACCGATTTGCCGCTCAGTATCGGCCGCCTCGTCGGGTGTGGCTCGTGGCAAAATGCCCGGATCTGTGAAACTGGTCCGCAATAGTGTGCACAACACGAATATGAAGAGAAGTGCGGCCACAGCCGGAATCGCCGGACTTATTTCGGTGGCTAAAAACGGACAACTGATGGACACAACAAGCGGTCTATTAGTGATCAATGAATGATTGAATGGATTGCAAAAGACATACTCGAAGACGAAGAAGAGCGCACACGTGGCGATGATTAGAGTAATGGTGAAGTAGAAGACGGAGATCTGTTTGGCCATAATTATGCGTCCGTCACAGTAGAAGCGATTACGTCCGGGAAAGATGTCGTACTTCTTCTTATGGTATTTGTTCTTCATCTTCGGTTTGCCGTCACTTCCGAAGTACTGGTTGTTGTGGTTATGGTTGTGNGGCGATGATTAGAGTGATGGTGAAGTAGAAGACGGAGATCTGTTTGGCCATAATTATGCGTCCGTCACAGTAGAAGCGATTACGTCCGGGAAAGATGTCGTACTTCTTCTTATGGTATTTGTTCTTCATCTTCGGTTTGCCGTCACTTCCGAAGTACTGGTTGTTGTGGTTATGGTTGTGGTTGTGTTGCGGTTGCAGTTGTCGGTTGTGGTCGCGATCGTTGCCCGAAGACATGGCAGACATCGACGGACTAATAGCCGACGAATGCATGCCTTTCTTGGTCTTCGTCTCTCTTGTGATCAATTCAATGGATGTCAGAGATTGTGGTGAAGACGAAGACATCGCTC